TTCCTGAAATATTCAGGTTTACAAACTCTCGTATTGTTATCACTTAATTCTGCTCATATACTTATTTAACATGTATTCTTAAACCTTAATTTACACACACACACTTTAACATATGATTGTGGGTTGCATATTGGATTATACAACAAAGCAAAGACCATCATTTATCAAGGTCTTGATGAAGCGACATTTGAAATCATTGCTTCCGCAGAAACATCAAAAGAAATATGGGAGGCTCTCCAACAAAAATACAAAGGTGCTGACAGAATAAAGAAGATTCATCTCCAATCTTTACGAGGTGAATTTGAATTATTACAAATAAAGTCCTCAGAATCCATTTCTGATTATCACACAAGAATTATGGTGATAGTCAATCAGATGAGAAGAAACGGAGAAGCCCTTTCAGATGCTCGAATTACTGAGAAAATTTCGAGATCCCTAGATCCAAAATTTGATTTTGTTGTTGTCGCTATTGAAGAGTCCAAAGAGGTGGACAAGTTAACAGTGGATGAACTTATGAGTTCTTTGCAAGCTCATGAGCAGAAGATTATAAAAAGAAATGGAGATAAGGCAATTGAGCATGCCTTACAAGCAAAGTTGTCTCTCAAAGACAAATATGAGCAAGGGGAGACTTCAACAAGTGGATACACCACTCGAGGAAGAAGTCAACAAACACGAGGAGGATTTCAACGATTTCAAGGCAGAGGTTCTTGGAATACAGGTTTTAGAGGAAGAGGTGGTAGAAACACCACCAGAGGAGGTCGAGGACAACAAGCATTCACTCCTAGAGGAAGAGGAGGCGGCTACAATAACCGTGACAACAGGAATATTCAGTGTTATAATTGCAATCAATTTGGCCACTATAGCACTGAATGTCAAAAGAAAGCTCCACTGGAGATACGTGAGCGAGTCAACTATGCAGAAGAGGATGTCAACAATAGAGGAGCAGCTGCATTATTTGTCCAACAAGGACTTGACAAGAATCAAGAGAATATTTGGTATCTTGATTCTGGAGCCAGCAATCACATGTGTGGCCAACGAGCTTTATTTGGTGATCTAAATGAGACCATACAAGGTTTTGTCACCTTTGGAGATACGTCAAAAGTTCCATTCAAAGGTAAAGGCAACATCCCAATCAAGTTGAAGAATGGCGATCATAGCTACATCGCCGATGTCTACTATGTCCCAGCCATAAAGCAGAACTTGGTGAGCATAGGTCAACTTTTGGAGAGAGGCTATACACTTTACATGAAGAATTGTCATCTGACAATTACAGACTATAATGGGAGATTAATTGCCTATGTGAAAATGTCCAAGAATAGGATGTTTCCTTTAAACATCCAATATGATGCAGCAAAGTGTTTGAGTGCCATCACCAACAGTGAAGAATGGCTTTGGCACCTGAGGCTTGGACATCTGAATTTCACAAGTCTGAAGATGCTAGCAAGCAAGAAGATGGTCAAAGGTATGCCCCACATTGATCATCCAGAAGAAGTTTGTGAGAGTTGTGTCCTCAGCAAACATCACAGATCTAGTTTTGCCAAAGAAGTCAACTGGAAAGCAAACGAGCCACTGGAGTTAATACACACAGATGTGTGTGGTCCTATAAAGCCTATGTCGACTGGACAAAATAGGTACTTCCTCACTTTTATTGATGATTTTAGCAGAAAGACATGGGTATATTTTTTGAAGAGGAAGTCAGAAGTGTTCAATTGTTTTAAAGATTTTAAAGCAATTGTTGAGAAGCAAAGTGGCTATAAGATCAGAACTGTGAGATCTGATCAAGGTGGAGAATATACAGCAAATGACTTTGAAGCTTTTTGTACACAACAAGGCATCAGACATCAGACAACACCAGCTTATACACCACAGCTGAATGGTATAGCTGAGAGGAAGAATCGAACAATTCTTGATATGGCAAGAAGTCTACTCAAAGCAAAGAAGCTGCCCAAGCAATACTGGGCTGAAGCTGTATCATGTGCAGTATATTTGCTGACCCGCTACCCAACCAGAAGTTTGCAAGCTATCACTCCACAAGAAGCATGGAGTGGTCACAAACCAAGTGTTACTCATCTTCGAGTCTTTGGTTGTGTGGCATATGCAAAGATCCCAGATGCAAGAAGGACCAAACTCGATGATAAAAGTGAGAAATGCATCTTTGTCGGATATGGTGAGAGAAGAATGGGATACAAGCTGTATAATCCCATCACCCAGAAGGTAATTATGAGCAGAGATGTTATCTTTGAAGAAGATAAAACTTGGCAATGGAATGATGACCAAGAAGCAGTTAAATGGATCAGCACTGATTTGATCCTTGAAGATGAAGAAGTACCAACAGTACTTCCAAAAGGTCCAATAGTACTAGAAGATGAGCCATAAAGTCCGATACACAGATTTCCTGTATTCAACAGGAGAAACACGCCAGAATCATCATCAACATCATCATTACCAGAACCATCATCAGCATCCTCATCAGAAGGACCAAGAAGGATGAGAAATCTAGAAGAGCTGTATGACGCCACTCAAGTAATGGAAGATACAACTCTATTTTGTTTCTTTACTGATAGTGACCCAATTAGCTTCAATGAAGCTATCACAGAAGAGAAGTGGATAAAAGCAATGGATGAAGAAATACATGCCATTGAGAAGAATGATACCTGGAAGCTGACTTATCTACCAGAAAACAAGAAAGCAATAGGTGTCAAATGGGTCTATAAGACAAAGAAGAATGCAAAAGGAGAAGTGCAAAGATACAAAGCAAGATTAGTGGCGAAAGGCTACAAACAGAGAGAAGGCATTGACTATGGAGAAGTGTTTGCTCCAGTAGCCCGGCTAGAGACAATCAGATTGATGATCTCACTAGCAGCACAACATAGATGGAAGATCTATCAACTTGATGTGAAGTCAGCATTTCTGAATGGCTTCCTAGAAGAAGAGATCTATGTTGAACAACCACTTGGATACATTGATGATGAAAATGAAGGCAAAGTATACAAGTTGAAGAAAGCCCTCTACGGTTTGAAGCAAGCTCCGCGTGCTTGGAATACCAGAATTGACAGGTATTTTCAAGATAATGGATTTGAAAAATGTCCATATGAACATGCAATTTATGTGAAGAAAGAAGCAGATGGCAGCATATTATTTGTGTGCCTATATGTTGATGACTTGATATTCACCGGCAACAATCCTACCATGTTCGAAGACTTCAAGAAAAGCATGGTACAAGAGTTTGAGATGACAGACATTGGTCTGATGGCACATTTTCTTGGCTTAGAAGTGGTGCAGAAAGAAGAAGGGATTTTTGTATCCCAAAGCAGTTATGCCAAAGATATTCTTGAAAGGTTCAAGATGGAAAGCTGCAATCTGGTATCAACTCCAGTCGAGAATGGAGTGGAATTGAGGAAAAGTAAAGTTGGAAATGTTGATCCAACTTACTTTAAAAGCTTGGTAGGAAGCTTAAGGTACTTGACATGTACCAGACCAGATATACTCTACGAAGTCGGACTGATCAGTAGATATATGGAGAAGCCAGACCAGTCTCATTTGAATGCAGCCAAGAGAATTCTTCGCTACATCAAAGGCACAATAAATGAAGGTATGTTTTATACCTCAAGTACAAATTTCAATCTTACTGGCTACTCGGATAGTGATTGGGGTAGAGATCTGGATGAAAGAAAAAGTACAACAGGGTTTGTATTTTTCGTGGGAGATACATCTTTCACATGGTCATCCAAAAAGCAATCAATTGTCACGTTATCAAGCTGTGAAGCTGAGTATGTTGCCGCCAACTCAGCTGTATGCCATTTAATATGGTTAAGGAATTTGCTAAAGTTTTTGGGATTTCCTCAAGAAAATCCTACAGAGATTTATATCGATAATCGATCAGCGATTGCATTGGCAAAGAATCCGGTGTATCAACCGACCGGCCGCCAGCTGCTTTCACATCGTCGGCCACAACCGCCTTCACACTTGAAGGTTGAATTTTCTTGTTTTGATTTCGTGTATAAATAGATAGCTAAGCTTATGCAATTATGTGTGGAGAGATTGAGAGAAACACTAGAGAGAAAGAGAGAGGGGTTGTTGTAAGCTTTTGTTTATGTTATTGTAAGCTTTGTTCTTGAAATAAAAGAGTGTGTTTTATCCCCTCCGAGTGTTTCAAAGCCACCACAAGTGGTTTCTCCCACCAACAATTGGTATCAGAGCCCCGTTTGTTAGAAAACAGAGGTATTTTTGGGAAATTGAGAGAAACACTAGAGAGAAAGAGAGAAAGAGAGAGGGGTTGTTGTAAGCTTTTGTTTATGTAATTGTAAGCTTTGTTCTTAAAATAAAAGAGTGTGTTTTATCCCCTCAACAATTTACATCTCCTCTAAAAACAAGATTAAAAGATCTAAAACCCTATAGAAAAACACCTTATCTCCAGACCCATGGACCCATGAGCATTATTCATTGAAATACTATAAAGATGTTTTTTACCCTTTACCAGAAAAATTTAGCAAAAATCACCTTATCTCCAGACCCATGGACCCATGAGCATTATTCATTGAAATACTGTAAAGATGTTTTTTACCCTTTACCAGAAAAATTTAGCAATGGCTTCCAAAAGCATTGAAGTTTTTCTGCATGGCTCCTTTGTTATTTTTTAAATTGATTAGGGATAAATAAGTTTTTTTTTTATTAATTGCACAATAAAAAAATTAAAAAATCATTGAAAGCATAAAATCTAAACCTGATGCAAGGAGGTATTTTCATATTTTAAAATGGTTTTTTGTCTTTATTATAATTTAAACTAAAAGTTAATTTGTCAATTTATCATCTGATCAAATATAAAAGATAATAAACAATTAAAATACACGGTAAAATAAATAAAATAACTTTAAATAAAAACATTTAATCATGAAGACAAGGGGTGTTCTAGTTTTAACAATCGCAGCAACAACAATAATAATTTATTAAAGTTTTCTACTGTAAAACCCAAGTGTCATTAATTATGCCTTCTCTTTTGTTCATCTAATGCTCCGGGGAAGAACATAGCCAAAATAATCATCACGTCTCATGCCTTGTAACCTTTCTCTCTTGGCTTGGAACATTGCTTTCAGTTCATCTCGATCCTGAGGATCAAAGTGATCTTGCATGCTGAAATCAAAGTGATATTGCGTGCTGAAATCAAAGTGATGCATCTCATTGGCATGCAGTAGATGGACCCCACACTCAATCACCTGACAAAAATCTAGTGAAGTGCCTTTCATATCTTCTGGCCGGAAGTCAACTGAGACCTCGCTGTATTTACTAAACGTATCCTTTTCTTTGGCAACAAAACAGGGATCCAATCCCACGAATATGTGTGCTGGATTGTTGCCCTTGTCATCATACCAACCATGGAGATAGCAATAGAGATCATGGCTATCACCGTGCTCATTGCGGAAGTGATATGTGCATTTAACTCGCAACTCAAAGTTGAAAGAATAAGATGCAATGACAGCACAAAGAGAGAAACCCAAGAACTCGCTATTAGCCCACTGTGAAGATAGCTGGAATGTTACTGTAGATCCCCAACTTTTGTGGCTAAACCACTCCGGAGTTACATCTGCAGGGAGGTAGAAACTAGGTGGCCTAGGGAGGCAGAAACTAGGTGGCCTAGGGAGGCAGAAACTAAATGGCCTCAGGAGGCAGAAACTAAATGGCCAAGCTGGAACATCGGGCAGCTGTTAACATAATTCAATTAGCATCTTTTTAAAATGAGACGAAGGAAATAGAAAAGTATATTAAAGGTTTAAGAAAAACACCTGATGGTCCGCCAAGAATTTATAGGTCCTACGCATGATAGAATAATCCCCCCATCTATTGACTTGGAGCCTTGCTCTCTTGGCTTGGAACATTGCTTCCAATCCATCTTGATCCTGAGGATAAAAACGATAGTATCTCTGCATGATGAAATCAAAGCGATATATCTCATTGGCATGCAGTGGGCGGACCCCACACTCAATCACTCGACAAAGATCTAATGGTAAGAGATTGCCGTTATTATCTTCCAGTTGGAATTCAACTGAGACCTCGCTGTATTTAATAAACGTATCCTTTTCTTTGGCAACCAAACGGGGATCCAATCCCACGAATATGTGTGCTGGGTTGTTGCCCTGGTCATCAAACCAACCATCGAGATAGCAATTTAAGTCACGGCTATCACCATGCTTATTGCGGAAGTGATATGTGCATTTAACGTGCAAATCATAACTGACAGAACCAAATGCAATGACTGCGCAAAGAGAGAAACCCAAGACTTGCTATTGCAAAGATCCAATCCGAAAATCGTTTCCGCTTAGATCTAACACTTCCAGTGATTGCAAACTCTGACCAAAACTATAATTGGCAGAACCAAATCCAATGACTATGATTGCGCAAAGACAGAAACCCAAGAACTTCCTATTAGCCCAATTTGTAGATAGCTGGAATGTTACTGTAGATCCCCAACTTTGATGGCTAAACCACTCCGGAGTCGTGTCTCCCGGGAGGCAGAAACTAGATGGCTTAGCTACAACATCAGGCAGCTGTTACACAATCCAAATAGCATCATTTTAAAATAAGATGAAGGAAAGAAAAAGGTACATCAGAGGTTGAAGAAACAGACCTGAAGGTCCGCCAAGAATTTATAGGTCCTACGCATGACAGAATAATCCTCCCATCTATCAGCTTGGAACCTTGCTCTCTTGGCTTGGAACCTTACTTCCAATTCATCTTGATCTAGAGGATAAAAATGAGAGGAGTCTGACATTATCAAATGAAAGCGTTGTATCTTATCTTCATCATTGGCATGCAGTAGACGGAGCCCAAACGCCCCACCGTCATACAGTAGATGGACCCCACACTCAACCACGTGACAACAAGGAAATAAATTGTTTTCCAGGTGGAATTCATCTAAGACCTCGCGGTGGAATTCAACTGAGACCTCGCTATATTCACAAAACGTATCCTTTTCTTTGGCAACCACACAGGGATCAAATCCCATGAATATGTATGCTGAGTCGTCGATGCGTTTCTCATCATTCCAACCATGGAGACAGCAACAACCATGGAGATAAGATAGCATATCTCATCATTCCAACCATGGAGATAGCAATGGAGGTCACGGGTATCACCATCCTTATTGCGGAAGTGATATGTGCATTTAACATGCGACCTCTGAACAAAATCATAATTGGCAGAACCAAATCTGCTGACTATGACTGCGCAAAGAGAGAAACCCAAGAACTTCCTATTATCCGAATCTGATGATAGCTGGAATGTTACTGTAGATCCCCAACTTTGATGGCTGAACCACTCCGGAGTCGTGTCTCCAGGGAGGCAGAAACTAGATGGCCTTGGCCTGGCTCCAACATCAAGCAGCTGTTACACATTTCAAAAGGCACCATTTTAAAATAAAATGAAGAAAAGAAAAAAGTATATCAGAGGTTTAAGAAACAAACCTGAAGGTCCGCCAAGAATTCATAGGTCCTACGCATGACATAATAATCCTCCCATCTCATGCCTTGGAACCTTGCTCTCTTGGCTTGGAACATTGTTTGCAATTCATCACCATTCGTAGGATAAAAACAAAAATAGCCTGACCTTATCAAATCAAAGCGATGTATCCCATCTTCATACAGTAGACGGACCCCACACTCAACAGAATAATCCTCCCATCTATCAGCTTGAAACCTTGCTCTCTTGGCTTGGAACCTTACTCTCAAGTCATCTCCATATAGAAGATCAAAACGAGAGGAGTCTGACATTATCAAATGAAAGCGTTGTATCTTATCTTCATCATTGGCATGCAGTAGACGGAGCCCAAACGCCCCACCGTCATACAGTAGATGGACCCCACACTCAACCACGTGACAACAAGGAAATAAATTGTTTTCCAGGTGGAATTCATCTAAGACCTCGCGGTGGAATTCAACTGAGACCTCGCTATATTCACAAAACGTATCCTTTTCTTTGGCAACCACACAGGGATCAAATCCCATGAATATGTATGCTGAGTCGTCGATGCGTTTCTCATCATTCCAACCATGGAGACAGCAACAACCATGGAGATAGCAGTCAAGGTCACGGGTATCACCATGCTTATTGCGGAAGTGATATGTGCATTTAACATGCAAACTCTGACCAAAACTATAATTGGCAGAACCAAATCCAATGACTATGATTGCGCAAAGACAGAAACCCAAGAACTTCCTATTAGCCCAATTTGTAGATAGCTGGAATGTTACTGTAGATCCCCAACTTTGATGGCTAAACCACTCCGGAGTCGTGTCTCCCGGGAGGCAGAAACTAGATGGCTTAGCTACAACATCAGGCAGCTGTTACACAATTCAAATAGCATCATTTTAAAATAAAATGAAGGAAAGAAAAAAGTATATCAGAGGTTTAAGAAACAAACCTGAAGGTCCGCCAAGAATTCATAGGTCCTACGCATGACATAATAATCCTCCCATCTCATGCCTTGGAACCTTGCTCTCTTGGCTTGGAACATTGTTTGCAATTCATCACCATTCGTAGGATAAAAACAAAAATAGCCTGACCTAATCAAATCAAAGCGATCTTCATACAGTAGACGGACCCCACACTCGTGTACTTGACAAAGATCTAATGGTAAGAGATTTCCGTTGGTAAATTCCGGTTGGAACTCAACAGAGACCTCACTATATTCACTAAACATATAATCTTCTTTGGCAACCACACAGGGATCAAACCCCACCAATATGTGTGCTGAGTTGATTCGCTTCTCATCATTCCAACCATGGAGATAGCAAACGAGGTCACGACTTTCACCATGCTTATTGCGAAAGTGATATGTGCATTTAACTTGCAAACTATGGCTGACAGAACCAAATGCAATGACAGCGCAAAGAGAGAAACCCAAGAACTGGCTATTAGCCCAATGTGAAGATAGCTGGAATGTTACTGTAGAACCCCAACTTTGATGGCTAAGCCATTCCGGAGTCGCATCTACAGGGAGGCAGAAACTACATGCCGCTTCTGGAAAATCGGGCAGCTGTAAACACAACTCAAATAGCATCTTTTTAAAATGAAAGGTGGTAAATAGAGAAAAAAAGATGTATATCAGAGCTTTGAGAAACAAACCTGATGGTATAACCTTTTGGTATAAAGTTGAAATTTCAGTAATGAGTACGCCAAGATTTGATTGAACAAACGCGATCTCGAGCAATTAGTGAAAATGAATTCAAAAATGTTCCCCTCAACTACAGTTGATGACCTGTGGTGGAAGCCCTGGTAATGATTCAATCTCTCGCAATTGTCTGCATCCAACTTTGATAGCTGTGGTGGAAGCTCCGGTAATGATTCAAGCCTCCTGCAATTCCTTAATCCTAGATATTGCAACTCAAACAGTTTATTGATGGTTATAGGTATTGTCCTGAAATTGTTTCCACTTAGATCTAACACTTCCAGTGACGAAAAACGACCAAGACTGTCCGGCACTTCCGATAGATTGCAACCATCTAGATTTAGCTTACGCAAACAATCTAAATCCACGCCTCTCTCGGGCAATTGCGATTTGACAAGACATTCGATGTCTCGTAGATATTTGCAGTTTCCCACTTCCAAGCAGGCAAGTTCCATCATATTTCCAATCGGTGAAGGCAACTCTGTTATGCTTGTCTGTTCTAAATAGAGATATCTCAAATATACCATCGGCTCCAAAACTTCTGGAAAATTTTGAAATTGGATGCAACCTGAGAGATTAAGCCTCTCCAATTTTCTCAACTTGCAGATGCTGCTAGGAAGAATCTCAAATTGTTTGCAGTTTCTTAGGTGCAATTCAGCAAGATCAAACAAACATTCTATTGAGGAGGGAATCTCTCGTATTGCTGTCCCATTTAAATACAGCTCCTTTAAATTATTTGAAACGTTTGGAAACTCCGTGATACTTGAGCAACCGGAAAGATCAAGTTTTTTAAGGCATCCCAACTCAGAAACCGCACTCGACAGATTCTTTAGCCTGTTGCAGCCACCTAGATCTAAATAAATGAGTTCCCTTAGACCACCAATTGAAGATGGCAGCTCTTCTATTGCAGTTCCATTCAAGTACAAGTATCTTACATTCCTCGAAAAATCAGGAAGCCTGCTGATAGATAAGCAGCCAGAGATGTCAGCAATTTGAAGAGATTTCAACAAATATATGTTTTCTGGAAGATTCACCAGGAGTTTGCAGTTCTTCAAATTCAAAGCAACAAGTCCACTGAGTTCCCCAATTGATTGGGGAAGCTCTTCAACAGCAGTCTCATTTAAATTTAAATATGTCAGTTTCCTTGCAGTCTCTGGGCTCTTCTTGAGATTTGAACAACCAGAAAGGTTAAGACTCTTCAGACATCTTGAATTAATTCTACTGGGCAAATTGATTAGGCTTGTGCAGCCTCTCAAATCTAAATCATTAAGCTTGTCCAGATGCTGTATAGATGAAGGAACCCTAACCAAACTTGTACAGAATTGAAGATTCAATCTCTCAAGGTCTCTGGCCTTCGAAAGGTCTGGCAGGGAAGTTATGTGCTCACAATTGCTGAGGTTGACATCTTTTAAATTGACGAGATCCTGAAGCAAAATGAAATCAACAGAAAGAAATTACACGTGCATATCACTCTAAATTTCGAAGAAAGAACTATGCATGCACAGAGTTATTTTAGAATACCTGGCCTTCTCTCCACAGTTGCTCAACCTTGCTAGATGATAGGTTAAGTTCAACAAGGTTCTGTGGACGAAAATTGCAAGGCAAAGATGTCAAAGGGTATCCATCCCAATGGAGATACCTCAACTCTTC